TTTATTGTCAGCTAAGCATTTGTTAGAAGAATTTAATCAAGAAATTATTGTAGATAACCTTAATTCTTCTACACCAGCACTTGGATTTTTAACATTATTATTTAATAGGTTGCTTCATAATAAATTTGATGCAATTGCAATTGATGCAACATATGGTACGAATAGTTTAGCCTGCGAACTATATTCTGTTATAGGTATAATTGATGGTACTGGGTTCCCTCTTAGCTATCTTCTTATTACAGCTGGAAGAAATCGAAATATAACTGAAATTCTTTTTCAATAGATGAAAGCTTTGAAAGAATGTTATTTACAAAATTTTTCCTTTATTCTTACAGACAAGGATTTTTCCGAAATTAATGCAGCCCAAGCTGTATGGCCTGAGGCACATTTACAATTATGTATTTGGCATGTACAATGGGTGATTAAAAATCAACTAGCATCTAATAAAAAAAATACATACTATTCTTATAACCTGAAAAGTATGCATGAGGCATGTTCTACAATAGATCCTAGCTGGGAAATTACAAATAATTCAAATTCTATATTTTGTTCCTTGAAATTGCAAAAAACTATAATAGACCTTGTTGAGAAGCATTCAACCTGTCACATGCTGCTACCAAAACTTGATGGCACTTTTACTACCAATTCAAATGAAATTTGAAAAGAATGTGTTGATGAAATGATGCAATTTTGTAAAAGTAATAACTTGCTTCAACTATGGATCTATTTTTGAAAAGAGTGGTACTCTAAAGATAAGTGGAATTTGTGGGCACAAGCAACTGACGAAAATATTAGTCATATTAAAACTACAATGATAGTTGAATCACATTAGCGACAAATTAAACATGATTATTTGTACAAGTTTTATAAACCCTGAGTTAATTATTTATGCTATATCCTTATAAAAAAAGTAATTAATCGGCATTTATATCAAATTCAACTACTTGAACAAGGTTGTTACTTGGTACCATGGCATAAGGAGTTTAAAAAAGAATGGAGACAGCTTGAAAAAAAAACAATACAGGAAAATAACAAGTATTTGACAGATTCAACTAAATGGATATATACATGTCCTGCATATATTTGAAGCCATTTCTTTTTATGTAAATATTTGATTAGTTCAGTAGAAAAGGCTGATCCAATATTTTTTAAAAAGGTAAGAAATTACTATTTATTTATGTATGCATATATAATATTTGACTTAATACTGTTTTTTTATATAGATGCAACGGAATGGAAATTATCCACTAATTTCTTCTTATAATAGCGATTTAGTGAATGTGTTCTGTTTGAAAAATTCTGTAAATAATCAATCTTCAAATATTTTATTAATTCAAAAAGAGTTGGAATTGGCTATTAGGTATGAAGACAGTAGTGATGATGAAGAAAATAATTATGAAGCAGACTTGGATTATTTGCATGGAATATTAGATAAGGTATTTATTATAAGATTCTATAATATGGTATTTATATTATTTCTTAATTGTTAATTATTCTGTAGACTAAAATGCTTTTAAAAGAATCACGCAACAAACCCAAAGGACATTTATGGTTAAAAAATGTTTGTTCAAACTTTAAATCCTTAGAAAAAATGCATAATGATATTACAGCATTAAATAATCGTATAACAATGCCAAAGACTTGGAAAGATTTTAATAAAAATACAATGTATTGGGTATGAAATATGTATATATATATATATATATATATGTATTATAAAAATAAATAGTAGTAGTATTTGAGGTAGCATTTTTATGATATTTGAAAGTTATGCGGATTTCTAAGAATGATCTTGAATTGCGTTATAAAGGTAGCACATAAATCGTTAATTATAATAAAAAAAAGCATGTATTTGAGTAACATTTAATTTGTTAAAAGTGATAATTCTGTAATCATTATGGCTTTATTTAAACAAAGAGTAAATAATTCACAAAAATTTGCACTATTCATTTTTTTGAACTTTCGGTTATTTAACAACCAAAATTTGTATCCGAAATTTTGTGTAACCCGGCAAATCTGTCCGGCTACCATTTTTTCATGGTGACGCTAGGGTCGTTGTATATGCACCAATCGGATTTTTTTGAATGATCGTCACCAGGGACCTGGAAAAATATTAATCTATTTAGATCAATATAAATCAATATTTTTGGGTCAAATCATTGGTAAATCGATAATTTTACAATTTTTGCTGCCGTGTAACATTACACATTACCAATGGCCAGAATTATGAATAACACTGGCCAAAATTTAATAACTAAAGGTATTACGATAAATTTTATTTCACGTTTCAAGGTTTTTGGTATCTTACCTCATATTGCTTTAAAGGTGTTATAAATTAAACTACTGCACATACTCGTGCGCAAGAATTTCCTTAGTAAAGGATCGCTTCATGCTCTTACGATTATGTATTATAATCAGGATTCTTAGAAGCTATTCTAAAAACATAAGATCAATAAATAAAAAAGAAAAAGAAAAAGCTTGATCACGTTATCATGAACTTGCATTCTAATTTGTCAGATAGGTAAATCGATATAAATCGATATTTTTGACCATATCAATATATATTTTTGCCTATGTCATATCGATATTTTTCCGGGTCCCTGATCGTCACCAATAAGATCACCAGATCAGTTGTAATGCTTTTTAAAAAACAGAAAATTTTGAAATTTTATGCATATTGAAATCTCTAACATTAAACCCAGATCAACTATGTACTAAAGATTTGTACCTATTTAAATTAAAAACAGCAATAAAAATTAGTTAAATCTAGCTTTATTTCGCAATATAATTTGCATAGCCCAATAAACAGTAATATATTTTTTAACTAATCGTAATACACCTAGTAATCTTGGTTTCTAAGTAAGTTTCTTGTTTTTTAGATTATTTTAGGATTATTTTTCATAGTTAAAGGCAACGTTCTTCTGAAACTAATTATAAAAAAAATCATTTTTCAGATAAAATGGTGATACGTTGCAGTTTAAAAAAAGTACTTTAAACTGTATAAATTAGTTACCCAAGCAATTGATTTACATTAGCCAATCAGACGAAAGTCATTCTATGAGGCAAAGGCCCCAAATATGAAATAGAAGGGAGGCTAAGTTTCCATTATGTCAAATCATTTTTTTATTTATTTTATTTTATTTTATTTTTCTAGTTTAGTGCAATTTTCGTATATCCGTCCGAATCTGTGCTGCCGTACAGTACTACTTCATTGTACCTATGCCACTGCATCTTTGGCGTGCGTGCGTAGAAATCTAGAAATAATTGATTTTAATTACGTATGCCTAAGCCACATTTTTTACATTTTTGTTATGTAATTTTTAATTTATATATCTTAGCTTCAGATCACAATGCAGTACATTACCTAGTCATTTTCGTACATACGTACGTATGTAATCGTTTTTTGCATGTAACTTAACTACTGTACGTAAATAAATATTTGTATTGAATAATTACGTATACGTAGAGCAGTGTCACCTATTCTAAAAGAAATTCATTCAAAATACGTATTATCGTTCTATAGAAAAATTTATACGTACATGCGTAAAATTTATCGCAAAGTAACTTTCGGAAAAATGTGCATACGCATGTAAAAAATTTACCGAAAGTCGATTTTTTTATTCATGCTACATATGAATGCCAATTTTTGACCTAAAAGAGACAAAAAAGTAAAATTACAAAAAAACCGATAAAACTTTGATAATTTAAAATAATTTCATATAACTTATATATCTGTATATAGCATAGTATAGTATAATTTCCACGCCTAACCAATCTGTTTTTTTTTTTGGCAATATTAAATCTTAGTTTTTATATATTTCGATATAGATCATTCGATTGATCGTAAACAATTATTTCTATGCATTACTGCATTAATGAATTTAATGAAATTCTATTTAAAGTCTACGATACAAAGTCGTGTAAAACAGACTTTGAGTTTAAAAGCTTTTAAACTCAATACTCTAAATTTATTTACTTCTAAGAGGTAACGAATTTCTTTTATACTCAAATATAACTTTCTATTATAGTGTTTCCAACTTCGTTTAGGGAACCAAGTTTAAAATGTGTTCAGCTTCAATAGTTCATAATGCGTCTAACATAATAAAGTGCTCAAATGTAAAAACTGTATAGATAATTATTTTCTATTTGGTGTTTATACTTTGCAGTTAAGATTAGTCTGTTTTACGAAATGCCACCTCGCGAATCTCTAGAGAATGAACAGAACGCTCCTCTCATTGACGAAGAAACACGCAATGCTGGTCCATTTACATTTACCATTGAGCAGCTGCAGAAGCTGATTGATCCAAAAAATGTTGAATTGCTTCGAGATTATGGTGGTCCTGACAAAATTCTTGATGGTTTAAGGGTTAATCGTGATTATGGTCTAAGCTCTGATGAAGGCATTGACACATCTTCGAAACCTTTTCAAGAAAGACAAAAGTATTTTGGAAAAAATGTATGTTTTTTTTTTCTAATCAAACGTATTACTATCATCAATGCTTCTTATCGATTAATATTTAAATCTTAGATTTTACCTAAAGTCGACCAGCAATCATTTTTCTATCTGGTTTGGGACGCTTATTGTGATAAGACCTTAAGTAATATTTAATGATATTTTATATTTTCCAATATTTGCGTTCTTTTCCTTCATCATTCTGACAAAGATTATAATTTATCTTTATAATTAGTTTTATTAAGTATTGCTGCTCTTGTTTCTCTTGCTCTTGGTATTAGTGAAGATTTATCGAACCACTCTGAAGATGAACCACGTCTTGGTTGGATTGAAGGTAAATCAAAATGTCTTTTATTTTTGTTACCTTAAACGCGATCCATCTTTATACTATTATATATTTATGTAGGTTTTAAATTTGTCCTACTTTTTTAGGTACTGCAATCCTTGTTGCTGTTGCTGTTGTAGTTTTTACGAACGCGATAAATAACTATCAAAAGGAAAGGCAATTTAGAAAACTTAATGATAAAAAGGAGGATCGTATCATCAAGGTGATTCTGCTTAATCAAAATGTTTACTTTTAGTACTTAGTAATAACTTTTATTGTTAATTATTAGCTTATTCGAGATGGTAATGAGCAACAAGTTTCAGTTTTTGAAGTCAATGTTGGTGACATTATGGTAATTGTTATCATAATATGAATGTTTCATATGACTGTTTTTGTTTTTAAAGCTTAAATTTGATTTTATTTTTATTACATAGATGCTTGAACCCGGTGACATAGTTGCTGTTGATGGTATATATTTAAGTGGTCATAATCTCATTTGTGATGAATCTAGCGCTACCGGTGAATCTGATGCCATAAAAAAAGGTGATAATGATCCCTTCATATTGAGTGGTTCAAAGGTTACGGAAGGCGTTGGTAAAGCAGTTGTGATCGCTGTTGGTAAATAAATTTCAATTTAATATGTTTACTTTTTTTTTTTTTTTTTTTTTTTTTTTTTTTTACGTAATATATCATACATTTCAAACGTTATAATTTACTTTTCCAAATAGGTGTGAATTCTTACTTTGGAAAAACCATGATGGTGAATAATACACATTTGCAATTCTTATAATCTTCCTATTCATGGATATCACTAATGTTTTTATTTAATGCATACATATTAGGCATTACGTCATAATGAAAATGAAGAAACTCCACTTCAAATGAAGTTAGACTTTCTTGCTGAGCAAATAGCAAAGTTAGGTGTTTCTGTTGCACTAATTATGTTTTTGTAAGTACAAATTTTCTCCCTTTGATTTAAATTTTTCATTAAGTGATATGAAATTAATTTTTAATAATACAAAAAATAACATTGTTGAATATTTAATTAAAATTATTCTTAGCACATTAACCATTAAATATTTTATCAATGCGGCTCTTTCTGACCATTTTCCTGAATTCGAAGAGATAATGGTCGCCGTGATTAATATTCTTATTCAAACAATTACTATTATCGTTGTTGCTGTACCAGAGGGTGTATGTATAAATTTATTTTTGTGTACCTCTTGTTTTTAGATATATATTTAAAAAAATTCATATTAATCTTTTCTTAGTTGCCTATGGCTGTAACACTTGCGCTTGCTTACGCAACCACCAAGATGTTGAAAGATAATAACTTGGTCCGAGTTTTATCCGCCTGGTATATATTATATGATTATTTTTATTTATTTGATTATTTTTTATTTATTTATTTATTTTTTATTTATTTATTTATTTATATTTATCTATATATATTTTTTTAATTATTACTTATAAATTTATAAAAAATTTTCAGTGAAACTATGGGAAATGCGACTGCTGTTTGTTCGGATAAAACTGGTACATTAACTCAAAATAGAATGACTGTGGTGGAAGGGTTTCTTGGTCAGGAAAGGTTTATAGATTACAATAATATTCAAGAATGGAGAAATAGGATTAATAAAGATACATACGATATTATTACACAAGGCATAATTGTTAATTCTACTGCATTTGAAGATCATGATGAAAAAGGGCAATTAAATTTTGTTGGGTATGTATAAAAAAATTAAAAAAAAATATCTAATTTAATTATAGAAAATATCCTAATTTTTTAAATATTTAATTAATTATACGAAATTATCCTAATTTTTCTTTGTTTAATCCCATTAGTTCTAAAACTGAATGTGCCTTACTTTCTTTTTGCAAAGAATTTGGTTTAGAATATAGAGAGATAAGATCTCACGCTAAGAAAGTAAAAGTTTATCCTTTTGCATCAGAGAGAAAAAGTATGACTACAATTATTAGATTACCTTCAGCTGGTACTTCTCATAGCAAAGCTTCTGAACATGTTGGATTTCGTATTTATGTTAAAGGCGCTTCCGAGATTGTTTTTGATGGTTGTACACATTATGTTAATGCTGAAGGTCATTTGCAGAAATTGGATGATAAATCTAATCAATTATTTAAAAATATCATCTCTGAATATGCTGAAAAGTCTTTACGCACTATTTGCATGGCATATCGTGATATAACTGCCAGTGAACTTAATAATATCAGTGATGAAAATCCTCCTGTTCATGATCTTATTTGTTTAGGTATAGTTGGTATCGAGGATCCTCTTCGTCCTGGTGTTATAGAATCTGTTAAAATTTTTAAAAAGGCTGGTGTTACTGTTAGAATGATTACTGGTGATAACTTAGCAACCGCAAAGGCAATTGCAAAGAATGCTGGTATCTATAAAAATGGTATTGCTATAACTGGTCCTGAATTCCGTAAAATGAAAAAAGATGAACAACTCAGCATAATCCCTCGATTAGAAGTACTTGCTCGTTCTTCACCGACGGATAAAACTATTGTAGTTTCTCTTCTTAAAGAAGAGGGTGATGTTGTTGCTGTTACTGGTGATGGCACTAATGATGGTCCAGCTTTAAAGTTAGCTGATGTTGGTTTCAGTATGGGAATTGCCGGTACTGAAGTTGCAAAAGAAGCTTCTTCTATTATTTTAATGGACGATAACTTTAATTCCATTGTTAAAGCATTGAGATGGGGTCGTGCTGTTAACGATAGTGTACGCAAATTTTTACAATTTCAACTCACGGTTAATATCGCTGCAGTTATAATATCTTTCACTAGTGCTGTCTTAAGTGATGATAATGAATCCGTGTTAACAGCTGTACAACTACTTTGGATTAATCTCATTATGGACACGTTGGCTGCACTTGCTTTGGCGACTGAACCTCCTACTGATGAGCTTTTATCTCGCTTACCTACTTTAAAGAGTGCATCATTAATTAATTTCCGTATGTGGAAAATGATTATTGGTCAAGCTATCTTCCAAGTGGCCATCAATTTGACTTTATTACATATAGGACCTGCAATTTTTCATCTTAACGTTAATAATCCTCATGATAAGCTCATATTTCGTACCTTGATTTTCAATACCTTTGTCTTTCTTCAAGTTTTCAATGAGATCAATTGTAGACGTATTGATGATCATTTGAACGTTTTTGCCAATATTCTTCATAATCATATATTCATAATCGTTCAGATTGCTATTATAACCTCTCAATTTTTTATCGTTCAATATGGAGGTATTGCCTTTGGAACAGCAAAGCTCGCTTGGTATCATTGGCTTGTGACTGTTTTAATTGGATCTCTTTCCTTACCTGTTGGTGTGATTATTAGACTTTTTCCTAATACTTGTATACCAGATTATATTCTTAACGAGTATTACAGACCAAAGGTCACTAAAGAGAAGATGTTATGGGAACAGGCAATTCATGATGTAAGAGCTGAACTCAAGGTATTTGGTGCTATAAGGAAGCCCAAGTCACGACCTTCCCACGGATTCCTTCGGATTGCAAATGATATGATGCATAAAAAATAATTAGTTTTCCTTTATTTGTTACAAAATCTTTGATTTGGAATTATGCTATATTTCTTAAATGATTAACAATTACGAATTAAGATTTCAATATACATATAAACGTCCTCTTCATTTGAATAACTAGTTTTTTGTTATACAATTTATCCAAATTTACGGTAATAAAAAGCGTTAATATCAAATTTTAAAAGTTGTGCACATTCACACTAATTATTATAATATCTTGTTTATAAAGATCAATCATTTTTTTCAATGCTTATAATTTTATTCTTAATTACATCTATAATTTTAACTTTGGGGTGATTTTTAAATTAGCAGATATGCACATTTTTTATATATGCATGTCAACACTTTTACATAACAAAATATATATATTCATATAATCACTTGAAATTGTTTCCTTCTTTTTCAAATGCGAAATATAGTCATAGTGTTCTCAAATAAGAAAAAAATGTTTAGATTATTTTAAGCATTTAAAATTTAAACACTATAATAAAGAATAAATATACAATATTGAAAAAAAGTATTCACGATTTTTAATTTTAATTAATAAATGGGTGTTCGTAGGCCAAAGATACTAAATTTAATATATACGAAAAAAATTATTTTAAGTTAATTTTGTCATCTTATTAAGCATGATATATAAATTTGATACACTTGATTTAAAATGTAATTACACAAAATTTTACATATTAACTTGCAATTAAATAAATATCTTTAATATTTTAAGATTTACAAAAAAAAAAAAAAATTTAAATTTTGATTACATATTGTTTAAAAAAATCTCAAAGTTGGTTAATTTCTTCAAAAAAAAAATTAAAATTTAAAAATTTTTTGATATATTTATAAATTGGCCAATTATAATTAAATATTTTTTGTGCTATTACTTAAGTATCTTGGTATAACATTAGTGTATAAACCTGTAAAATTTCAGTTATGATTATTATGTAAAAAAAGGTATAACAAAAAAAATTATTTATTTAAATTAGTTTATTAGATTAAGATTATAAAAGAACTTATAAAAATAAACAAAATCTGAAAGGTTGTAAAAAGAAATACTAAGGTTATATAAATATTATAAAAACTAAAAACAAGGTTAGCTGTAAAATGACTTTTAAAATCAATAGCATAGTGGTTATGCTTTAAGATCATAAATTGCAAGATTGTCAGTTCAAATCTTAGTATTTCCAAAAATAGAAAATTGTAACATCACAGAACCAGGAACCTGAAATGTTTAAAAGCAGACTTATTTTTAGAAATGACAAGTAACCTGCAGTTGAAAAGCCACATGGTAACAAACACAAGTTAGAGCCTGATTTAGAATAACTGAAATCATAAGATATAATGTGAGATTGAAAGTCTAATAATAAGAGATACTATATAAACTTATAATGACAGCTGGTTCTAGACTAAGCTTGGCGAAGTCTTCTAATTCTAGCAGGAATTGGTGTGATAAATTGTTTCTAAAAAGTTTAAAAATACAAACTAGGAAAGGTTGAGGTTTAGTGTTTGATGACATTTGAGAACATTAGTTCGAGGATATAAAAGCAATAACAATCTCAACAAAATTATCTAAAGGAAAAAAAAAAGCTGTAAAATAAATTACAAAAAATTTTAGTAACAATGTTTTAAAGATTTATGTAAGTTGTCTTAAAAATATAGATTAATATCTGTAAATTCTTAACTAATCTATATACTAACAAACTGATTATTTGATAATCATCTGAACCAAATTTTCTAAAAAATCGAACTACAGAAAATGATATAGTTAATATATTAAACTTTATAAAAACCTTTCTGAAGTACTGTACATACATTGTTGGATATTGAAATAGAGTTGAAAAAGAGTCACAGCCTTGTGATAATATTTTAAAGAGCACTTTAAGACTATAGAAGAAATAGTTAATAAAAGTTAAGGTTTCTCATTAAATAAATAATAAAGTTGAATATATTAGTTCTATATAACTGTAAAATTTACAAGAAATATCTACAAAAGTTAAGAACTCATAAAAGCTAAAAGTTGGTTCACTTAGTGCTCTTATCTTTTTTTTGAAGAAAATTTTGTAAAAGTGGACAATTCAGTTTATTCTCTTCTAAAGATTAATATATAAAATCATCAAAACAGTCAGCAATGTTTACTTCTTAAACAAAATTGTTTACAATGTAAATCAGAAATAATATAGCAATACAAACATAACTATACATGTATCTCGAGTCACTAAAAACCTATTAAATATTGCTTCTGGACTAACCAATATCTTATATTAACCTTCTACAATAAAGTCAAAATTATTTTCTTCTTTTTGGTTTTTTGTTTAAATAATTTAAATAAATAGAAAAATAGTAAAGTAATTTTTATTTAATATAGTTTATAATTTTTACAAGCTCGACACAGGCTTATAATTGTAATTGTCTAATATCTGTGAATTGCAAGTTTTATATCTGATATAGGCTTAAAATCATGACTATCTAATTTTTTGTAAATTGCAAGTTTTACACTTTTCTTTTTTCTTATTTTCCTTTTTTTTCTTTTATTTTTTGTTTTGTATTTTTTATCATTTACTCTTATATCTCTGTTTTTTTTTATATATAAAATCTTTTTTTTGTTTTTTTTTGCTTTCTTACGAGAAGACATTATCAAATTGGTGATATTCTATTGTAGAATAGCAGTCAGATGAGTAGTCTATTTTTGTTTGAGGTAGTGTAACAGATCGCACTTAGATACCAATAAGGTGATTAAGTAATGCTAGACTTAAGTATTAGAAAAACTTTGTAATTTGTATAGTATTAAAAATTTTAATAAAGTACTAGCATGACTGCTTAAGTTAAAAAAAAAAATTATATATATATATACTAAAAAGTAATGCTATGTTATAGAACAAAACTATAATATAAAAGGTTTAAAAAATAATATTTATAATTAAGTTATAGATTGGGTGTGGGTTCTATAACTTAATTGTTAAGCTCCCATACCCCCATAGTCAAGGTCAACAGTTCAAGTCTGGCTGGAGGCAAAATCAAAAAGATTTTAGCCTCTGTAACCTATAAGGAGCCAG